CGTGGAAAAGACCTTGCTGCACTGGAAAGCAAGAAAGGGCTCAAAGAATGACGGGGCATGTCCCAAAGATATCAGAACAGGATGAAGGGGCTTCTAATAGCCAAGTATAGGATGACGTGACCATCAAAAATATGACCGATTTAACGGTTTGTAACCCTCAGAGTAAAAGAGCAATCCAAGAGTCTATCCTGATTTGACACTAATATGAATAAATGAATACATGCATACATAATAAATAAAGGAGAGGAGAGAGCTGCCTATGAATAAATCTAGAATGAAGGATTTTTTTTTTAAAGATTATCTGGAACTATCACAATAATAGATACAGATAAAAATCATTAATGGACACTAAATCCGTAGGTTAAAATTTAGTGAGAAACATGTTTTCATAATATCAAAGCATCTCCCCACAAAATATTTTTAAGTAAATACCCTTATTAATTTTACTGTGGAGAAACGGGGCAAACACCACCTTAACCAGGTGAAAAAATATAACATTATCAGTAAAGGAACGAAAATCAACATAGTGTGCACCTGATACAATCCTCTGAGACGAACATAGCAACATCTCTGTGATATTCCTGTCAAAAAAGCTTAAATCAGGAGACATCACATAAACCCAAGCTGAAGGACAGTCTACAAAGTAAAGGTCATGCAAGACAAAGAAAGACTGCTTTAGACTGAAGGAAACACTAAGGACACATGATAACTGAAAGCAACATGTGATCCTAGATTGGATCCTGGGCCCATAAAAGGCCATGACTGGGTCAAACCAAAAAAATGCGATAGAACCAAGAAATTTGATGATAGCATTAGATCAGTGTTAACTTCCTGATGGATGGTTATACTGTGGTGATGTGGAAATGTTCTTGTGCTTACAAAATACACACTAAAATTTTATGGAGTAATGAGACAATATTTCTACAATATGCCCAAATGTTTCAGATTTTTTTTTTAAGATTTTATTTATTTATTTGACAGACAGAGATCACAAGTAGGCAGAGAGGCAGGCAGAGAGAGAGGAAGGGAAGCAGGCTCCCTGCTGAGCAGAGAGCCCAATGTGGGACTCGATCCCAGGACCCTACGATCATGACCTGAGCCGAAGGCAGAGGCTTTAACCCACTGAGCCACCCAGGCGCCCCTGTTCCAGAAACGTTAAATGGGTGATCTGAAAGGGTATGAGGAGATCTGAACACTATTTCTGCAATATTTATGTAAATTTGAAGTTATTTTAAAAGAAAAAGTTAAAAATTTTAAAACAGTAATAATGATGAAATATAACTCATTACACAAATCTATAGTCTGTATTAAATGGAGAGGGGCAAACTAGTAAAGTGTGACAGATTTAGACAATCAAATCATGTTAACAATTGAGTCAAATAAGAATCACCAATGGATGCTGAAAATACTGGATGAAAGTTTATCATACAATTCACAAAGTCTGAAAGTATTTCCCTACAACTTGCTTTTTAACTACACAGGGAAAATAACTGCAGCAGAGAAACCTGGAAAATACCACTTTAATCAAGTGATCCAAGTTAGCATCAGTAATGGGACAAAGGCTATCATATGTCTCCTAACATGATGCACTGAACAGGACATATCGCCTATATGGAATTTGTACCAGAAGTGCATAAACTAATCTAATGAATCTAATCATGAGGAAATGGCAAATAAACCTTATCTCAGGGACTACCCTCATCTCTGCAAATGTCAGTGTCATGAAAGACAAAGAAGAGCTGAGGAATTGTTCCTGACTTAAGAGATATAACAGCTAAATGCAAAATGTGTGACTGGGAATTGGATTCCAAAGAGAGCAGATTACTATAAAGGACATTACTGGGACAATTTGCAAAGTTTGAATATGTAGTATGTTAGATGATAATATTAACTAAGGGCTAAATTTCCTGAATATGATAACTCTTCTGTGGTTACATGAGAGACTCTCCTTGTTCTTAGGGAATACATGCTAAGGTGTGGAAATAAAGGATCAAGGTAGGGGTGACTAGGTGGCTTAATTATTAAGCATCTGCCTTTGGCTCACGTCATGATCCCGGGATGCTGGGATCAAGCTCTGCGTTCAAGCTCCGCGTTTGGACTCCCTACCCTGCAGAAAGCCTGTTTCTTTCTCTCCCACTCCCCCTGCTTGTGTTCCCTCTCTGGCTGATTCTATCTCTGTCAAATAAACAAAAAGAATTAAGGTAACTGCAATTTACTCTCAGGGATTTCAGCAAATACAGTAACACATTCAGTAAACAGAGATCAGTGGATCTGAGTAAAAGGTATTGAGAAATCTCTATTCTTGGAGCTCTCCCATAAATTTGAAAATAATTCAAAATAAAACTTTTTTTAAAATGCTATCAAAAACACATATCTCTAGGTTTTAGGATTTCAACCAATTCTCATTCTCATATTTACAGTTTGAATTCTTTTATAATACAAATATAACATTTTCATAATCATAACAAGTCGGTTTTACTTTAGAAGGAAAACTGTGATCTATCTCATGCCATACAATATAGTCTAAAATATATTAATTTGAGGGCGCCTGGGTGGCTCAGTGGGTTAAGCCTCTACCTTTGGCTCAGGTCATGATCTCAGGGTCCTGGGATCGAGTCCCACATTGGGCTCTATGCTTGGCAGGGAGCCTACTTCCTCCTCCTCCTCTCTCTCTCTCTCTGCCTGCCTCTCTCCCTACTTGTGATCTCTCTGTGTCAAATAAATAAACAAAATACTTTAAACAAATAAATAATAAAATATATTAATTTGAATACTAGTTTCACAGTTAATTATACAGGTTACTAGGAACACTTTGGTTGTCATATTTCTTTAAAATAAAACTTTTCAGAGCTTTAAACACTACTGCATATGTTGTAGGCTTTTTCAGGAGAATATGCCATATCATATTTCCTAGACACTAAGACATAAGAGGGGAACCACGGAAAAAAATAGATTTTTAAGGAAAAAAAATAATCACCACCACAATAAACATACATGTAGTAAAATGAGCACCAATCTCAGAAACTTAAAAATATAAGGGAAATTACATATTAGAATTGACAAAATAATTATACAGGTCTTTCAATTTTATTTGGCCACCAATTTTTTCATGGGGAATCTAAAAGACACAGACCTTGAAACTAAGGCTAGTTCTACAAAAAAGAACCTTAACCAAAGAAAGGGCAAAAGCTGCCCATTTTAATAGCAACAAACTGAATCACTTAATCCCCATCATCCTCCAAGTTAACCTGACAAATATAAACATGGAACAAACTTAGAGTCAGGTTTTCTTCTTCTTCTTCTTTTTTTTTTTTTTTTGGCCTTTTTTTTTTTTTTTTTTTTTAGAGAGGGGGAGAGAGAGAAAGAGAAAGATGGGTGGGGAGCAGAGGCAGAGGGAGAGAATCTTAAGCAGGTTCCATGGCCTCCCCCCAATGGAGGGCTTCATCTCATCAGCCTGATTCATTCAGATGCTTAACCAACTGAGCAACCCAGGAATGCTGAGTCAGTTTTTCTTTAGTACTATCTCACAAAGTATTTTTAGAATTGGAGACCTTTAATTTTTTATATAAACTTAATTCTTAGTCAAGATGTCATGAATGCTCTTGGTATTTTTAATATCATTTCCCTTCATCGTGTTCACTCTTCAATTTCAGTGCTGGAATTTGGCTAATTTGGGGTCCACAAAGAACCTTCCTACACTGAAGCTTGCTTCTCTTGGACTGATTATTCAGGTCTGGATCTCCTTGATGGGAAAGTTACAGGGTAAGAACTCTCTACCTAACTCTCCCTAACTCTCAGCAACAAGGGTTTGGTCATAAAAGAGAGCTTCTCTGAGCCTCTCTTCAGTTAAATCGTAAAATAGGTCTGTCATTTTCACAGGACTACCTGATTGCCAGCAAGAGTCCCCCAATCTTTTCCCTAACTCCATACAAGGTTATGTGTCATGTACTTCTCCTTAGTAGGCATTAAAGATTAGGAATCAAGGGGCGCCTGGGTAGCTCAGTGGATTAAAGCCTCTGCCTTCAGCTCAAGTCTTGATCCCAGGGTCCTGGGATGGAGCCCCACATCGGGCTCTCTGCTCAGCTGTGCCTGCCCCTCTGCATACGTGTGATCTCTGTCTGTCAAATAAATAAATAAAATCTTTAAAATAAAAAGATTAGGAATCACTTTTGACAATCTAGTGCAATGCCTCTTTGTAAAGATTTAATAGTTTGGGGTTTGGGGGTTTTTTTTGGCTACTTTATTAAAATGTATTTATCTGCAGTTTTCCTCCAGTTTTGTAATTTTGTAACAACACTTTTGCCCAAGTTTCAAATAGGAAATCACTGCTTGTTACTGCTCCATACCAATGTGGGGCTTGAACTCACCAGCCTGAGCCCAAGGGCTGCAAGCTCTAACCGCTGAGCCAGCTAGGTGCCCTGATAATCAAAAAAGCTTTAAATTAAAAACAAAACATCTCAATAGAGAAAAAGCCTAAGGGAAAGACAAATCATATATCTAAAGTTAGCACAACATAATTCGTTTGATCAGACTCCAAATCTTTCAGTGGCCTCTCCTGCACTTCCACTGCTTTTTTCTTTTAAGGGAATACGTAAGCACTCAATCAGAATGTTGTATACCTCATATTGCTATTACTTCCTTATCAAAATCAACTACTTCTCAACGTGCCCTGAAATTTTAACTCCTATAGAGCTCTCAGTTGCACACTGTCTCTACAAACATTCTACCCACCTCCGGCATCTAATAACCACAGCAATTCAAGGAGTTTGCAATTTTAATATGTTCCAGGAACATGAGTTGAAAAATGAGAAATTTAAGATGATAAGAGAAAAATTCTGGAAGTTTTCAAAAAAGAAAAAGTTGTTATTATTATTATTATTATTCTTGGATTGTAAGTAGGACTACCAATCTTCTTTTCTACATTCCTAGTGTCCTTAAATAAACTTTTCATAGTATACAGTTGCATAACCCCATTTCATTACTGTAACGAATGTACCTACCCTGTATCTCCCAATCCATGAAGGAAAATCACCTATAAGAGAAGAGGAAAAATTATAAAGCAATGCCTAAATAAACCCACACCAAACTGCTGTTACACACTGAAGCTTTGGTTAAGGTGGATCCTACAATTACAGAGCACTGCCCTCAGCAAGTTAGTTAATCTCTACAGACCTCTTCAATAAAAAAAATCCTGAACTTCTCTCCTTGAGTTCCTAAGATAATTAACGTTGCGTTTTAGAGCTTAAAGGTCTGACATTCGTCAGTGCCAATGATCACCAACCACATTCGAAGAAAAAGAGTTTGTCTCTTTCTAGTCAAACCACTAAAGTCTCTCACAAAAGCTGTAGAAGTTTTCCATCGCAAAAAGGAGGGGGGTGGTTTAAAAACAAGTTTGAGATCCTCATACACAAGTTACATTAGGGGAAAAAAAAAAAAACAGCACCTCCGATTTGTGAGACACGAAATCTTCGAACTTCTTTAATTTAGAACAAGAGTGCAAGGCAAGAAAATCATTCTCTCATCCACAAACGAGACAGAAACACGAGATAAAACCACCTCGAGTTAGGGCACCTCTCCACTAACGCCAGCGCCTCCAAGCCGGGGACCGGGTGGGGGTGGGGAAGGTCTGGGGGTCCCGCGGGCCGCACTCACTCCGCAATGCGGAGGAGGACTCGGGGCCGGGGGCTGCCTGTGGGGGGTGGGAGGGGAGGAATGGGACGCGAATCCCCCACCCCGGCCGCGAGCCCAGCGCTCTCTCCCGACAGCACCGACCGGCGCCGGGCCAGCCTTCCCCACCTCATCACACTCCCTCCGCACCCCGCAGGGCAGAGCGTCCCCACCCACCGGTCGCCCACCAGCCTGCGACGCCAAACCCGCGCCAAAGGCGGTAGCCCACAGCGGGCCGAGAGGCCCCTCCGAACCCTACTCGCCGCCACTCACCGCAGCGGTGGCTTTCCGGACGGCGGGCACGGTGGCGGGAAGCGGGGCAGACATGTTATTGCCGCACATACACTAGCTCCACTGACTGCGCGCGTTGGAGGCAAAACGGACAGCGGGCGCCCGGCCCCGGCCCAAGGGCGTGCGAGCGGCGAGTCCCGGCCCGCCCCTCCGGGCGCGCGCTCAGGCGCGTGCGCGCCAATAAGGCGCCGCGCCGCCTTGCGCCGGTTCCGCGTGCCCGCGCTTGGAGGGGCCTGTCAGCCTGCCCCGCCCCCGCCGCTCTCTCCTCGGCGTGTCATAATGCCCGGCATCTCCTTCCGCTGATTGGCTGCGAACGAGAACCGACTGGAGCTGACCTCCTCCTGCTCGGCGGCCAGCGCTTGCTAGGTGCGGGTGGCCCCCCCCCCGCTGGAAGGCTCTCAGTCCCAGGCGGGTTGCGTGGTCCCTGGAGCTTGGCTTTATCTTCCGCTCTTGGGGCCGCGTAGAGAAAAGAATTATCCCCAAAGGCAGTCGTATCCAGCCGCAGATACTCCTTTGTTCCCTCGTTAGTAAGGGTCAGGAAGAACCGGCCTGAGAAAGGCCCGTCTAGTTTTTGCTTTATTTCCATTCGGGGCTTTACCAGTGTGTAGTTTGGGGGTCGATTCCCCTCCTTTAAACCTCAGCGGGAAAGGAAATCAGTTGCATCGAGGATCCACAGTTTATGACTGATGGGTATTGACACTGTATTGATTTAAGCGCGAGACTGGATGGCCCCTTTTCTGCACTGGGTGTTGGGGGGGGCAGGGAGAGCTCAAAGCACATCAAACACTCGGTAGGATTTGTGAGGGGATAAGAGACTGAAACACTTAAAGGCAAAATGCCCTGACCTTCAGAAGGATTCAGTGGAGAAACTTAAAGGAGGTATACAATCATTAGGGGGTAGTCTAAGACAGGGAAGGAAGTTGGTGACCAAAAAAAAAGGCTTTGAAAAACTCACTCTAATTCACATGATAACCAGATGCTGAAGGTTTGGGGAATCTTAATCGTACTATTTTTTTATGACTCCTATGGTGGTTTTGAGTGCTGAGAATTCAGAAATGGTAAATTGATGCTGATTTATTGAAAATGGTAATGTGACTTATTTCACCTTGGAGTACATGTGTTTATGTCAGGCTTTTAAGTATTTGGTTGTGATATAAACAGAGAAAAGCTATCTGTGGCTGTTACTGTGAACATAACTTGTTCCCTAGTATGCGAATCTTTCTATGATGTGGTATGTAGAGCTCCAGGGGCCACGCATGGGTTCTAACAATTAACTTCCAATAGCGGGGAGTAGGACAGCTCAATTTGATGTATTTCAGTCACCCGTCCCTCTTTCCCTATTCTGCAAGGTTCTCCCAAGTGCTACATTATCTAAGTAACTTTGTATTCTTTGTGTCTAAGCACGAGTTCTTAGAACTTGTGTTCTAAGTAACTTTGTGAACTCTCTTCCTCAGGTAAGGGAATGAAATAAATATAATTGAAAAAAGACAAAATTATCATTATTTTCAGATGACTATGATGTAGGAAATGGTTGGGGTTTGTAGGAGATGGCCAAGAAAAAATCTTGAGATGGATATGGTGCAAAAAGGTGGTTTTGTGAAAGCCTGGGGAGAGGATTGCGGGGTGGGGTTGGGTGGCGGGGGGACTCTAGCTATGGTTAGGAAAAGGTCATTTATTACTCTCTAGTAAAACCCTAGTCATTAGACCCTTCAGATGTATATCAGTAGGTCATATGTTTAGGAAATGATTGCTAACATGTATCTAGTGGTGTAGAGATAAAGGAAGTTTCCAAAGGAATTTTTATATGTTAAAGTAGACTTATAGGATCCTGGGGGTTTGGATAATGTTAAGGAAAGATTGCCTTTTGCCCTTAGCAAAAAATTTTAACATAGAGGCAGCTGAGCTCCCAGAGGAAAGTAGCTCTACCGGTTTCCCGGGACTTGTCAAGGGGCTGTAGGCAGTAAGGAAATTTAATTTTTTCTTTGCCTTTGTTTACCACACAAAGGGAAAATATAACAAAAGCTATTTAAAATTTACAAGAAAATTATGCAATATCACTAATTACTAAATCAATAAACAAAAATGAGTAGTTTTTCTAGCTACAAATACTAGCTGGTTAGAATAAGTAATAGAAGAAAAAAATATTCACGATAGAAGTTTTAAAAAATATATTCAGGAAAAATTGGGCAAGAATATACCAGACCTACACGAGGAAAAGCATGAAGCCACCAGCACACAGAAATGTCAAGTAAGTAAATAGGAATGAAAGGGCATATTCAACCAGAGCATCCCCACCCAGGTGGAACTGCCATTTTGTTGTAAAACTTAAATTGACCCTACCCCCTCCCCTCAGGGGAACTTACTTAAAAACAAGTCCTGGAAACCAGTCCCAGGTAACAAAGTCCAAATACAAGTGTGGGTCAGGCCAGGTGGAGGTATTCAATCAGTGGGGGGCGCATACTGTCTCCTAGCTACCAAGGAGTACGGGCCCTGCCCTTTGGGCACCTTTTGGGCGCCAATTCTAACCAAAGTGATAGGCTGGTTCAAATGTCTACTACGGTAAATTGTAATTCAATTGGTCATCTAGCATGACTGTGCAGCTTTCTCTGTGTGTTACAATTTCATTGGCCACCTGTGCATGGCCAGGCCCAACCACATGGCCTTTGTTCTCCTTTGTTCTATAAAAGCTAGTCTGTGAAAAAGAGAAGGGTCGCCCTCTCTGTCAGGGGCGGCCCCGACCGGTCTGTTTGATGGTCGGTTTGATTCTTGATGCTTGCTGTGAAATAAAGCTTTGCTTGACTTTTGCTTTGTATCAGCCTCGCTCTTTTAATCACGGACCCATTATTGTGGGGCCCAACATTGGGGGACCCAACAGGAAGATACACTAGTATAAGGTTATTAATTTGTTCAGAATTACTACCAATACAATGTACTCCCAATTAAAATCCCAATAACTTATACTGTAATAATTATTTTTTAATAACCCAGTCAAATTTTCTAATTTTATAAAATTATTCTAAAATTCATACACATGGGAGAATAGACATGCAGGAAAATCCAGGAGTATTAAAAAAGAAATACAGTAATTTGAGCTACCAACCCTACCAAATGTATGACATTGAAGGGGATCAGAATATACCACCCCAAATTATGCCAGTTTGTTATATGAATTATTTTATGTTAAGGGCACTGAGAATCAATCGATGAAGAAAGAAGCCCTCTAGGAGTTTCCTTTATCTGACTAATAACAGAAACTTCTAAGAAATGAGGACAACTGAGACATCCGGGTGGCTCAGTTAATTGGTTGATTATTGGTTTCACTCAGGTCAGGATCTCAGGGTAGTGATATTGAGCCCTGTGTTGGGCTCCATGCTCAGAGTCTGCCTCTTGAGATTCCCTCTCTCCCTCAGCCCTTCCCTCAGCTCACACTGGCATGTGTATGCTCTCTTGCTCTAAATAAATAAAATTTTGCAAAAAAAGAAAGAAATGAGGATGGCCATAAATCTCTTCTTCAGGAGTATTATATCCACAAAGAAGACAAAGTTGGAACCAAAGTGGACTTTCACAAACAAACTTTGCAAAATAACATTTGCCTTCCGTTAGTTTGTCCACAGATTTACCTTTCCCTAATTTACTACACTTAGAAGCTCAAAACCCTTTTCCTTTGTCTTGTTATTTCTCCACAAATTTATTTCCCTTTCTTAAAATGGTACATAACCTACATGTCTGACCACCTCTTCAGAGTTTTTTTTTTTTTTTCCTTAAGTGATCTCTAAGACCAATGTGGGAGTTAAGCTCAATGACCCCAAGATCAAGTGTTGCATGCTCCATTGACTGAGCCAGCCAGGTTCCCCAACTCTTTTTAGTTTTCTCATCATTTCTGTGATACATATGAAATATACATATGAAATAAGCCTCTTTCTCCTGTTAATTTGTCTTTTGTCAATTCAACTTAGAAGTCATCAGTTACTGAAACTAAGAGAGTAGAGGATAAGTTTTTTCCCTCTCCATCAACATCATCTAAAAGTTACAGTAGTAAATTACCAATGTAAGAAAGTATGAGTAGATTGGATCATTTGCTGAATTCCCTTACTTTTTCGGCTTTCTTTTCTTTCTTTCCTTCTCTCTTTCTTTCAAGATTTTTTTTTTTTTTTTTTTTTTTTTGACAGAAAGAATGAGCACAAGCAGGGTGAGCAGGAGAGGGGAAATCAAGCTTCCTGCTGAGCAGGTTTGTGGGGCTCAAACCAAGGACCCTGAGATCATGATCCTAGCCAAAGACAGATGCTTACCCACTTAACTAATTAAGCCACCCAGGTACCCTGCCTGGATTTATTTCTAGAACAGAATTCAATCTCCAAGAAAAAAAAAAAAAAAAAAAGACACACATATATTAAGAGTGACATTTCAAATCAGTAGAAAAATGACAGTTACTCAGCAAATGATATCAGAATAACTGACTACATTTGAGAGAAAATTCAGATGACTCCTCCATTTCTCCTCTTACATCTCCCAGCAAATTCTAGGCAATATCCAGAAGAGGAAATCCAAATGACTAACAAAAGGAAGTACCCAACTTTCCTAATCATGAAAGAAATGCAAATTAGAACAAGTTACTACTTTAGACCAGTGATATTAGAAAGAACAGAACATGGTTCAACTGTGTACACTACTAATGAAAGTATAAACTTGAATGAAACTTCAGAGCAATTTGGAAAGTTCTAGTGAAGCTGCAGATGTGTGTATTGTGAAAATTAGTAACATGAAACCTCACTAAAGTAGAATGGGTAGGTTTTGGCAGGTGGAGCTCTGCCTTAACACTCTAGTCAGTTGCAGATCCAACAGAAGACACAGATTTGACCTTACGGGAACTTCCTCTCGCAGGTGGATACTCCTCTACTAGACCAGCCTAAGGAAGAACTACTTTTTTTACCTTCCCCCTGCCCACCAACAGTGCAAAAAACGCAGAAGACCCTGGAAGTCAAATTCCTAATTTACTCGATGAACTTTCAGTTTATAACAACCTTCCCAACTTACCTCTTTTCTCCTTAAAAAAGGGCACCTCTTCATTGTTCCCTGGACTTGCCTATGGTTTTGCCATAGCTTATTTGTCCCAGATTATAATTCTCTTTTATTCCTGAATAAATCCATATTTTGCTGGTAAAATAACTAGCAGTTTCTGTTTTTTTTAAGGTTAACAGTAGCTATGACCAACAAC